GTTAATCTCATCTAACCATACAGCAGTCAAGCAAGTAGAACAAAGTAGGTATCATAATGAAGGATTTCAGTCTCATGAGTTCAGTCCTAGTAACGGTAGAGCTCTGATATAGACTGATGTGACTACTTAGTACAGATATACTTAAACAAAAGTTGTATCTTCCTCATTACTTGACTTAAATACGTAAGATTTTATTTTGCCTAAACCCAACTAGTGAAAAACTTTTGTTTAGAAGTGTTGTAGTTAAGGAACTTCAACTGAGAAACCTGCACATGCACACTAAGGCTACCTGCATTATTTATAATCAACAGGGGCTAAACATGACTAATCAAGTATAATACTGCAACAAGTGGACTTAATTCCTCACCCAAAACGTTTCAAGAGGTTACTTTACAGCAAGCCTAGTACTACCGCCTACTTCAAAGATGAGTTTTTGTGAACTTAGAAACATCACTGAAAATTACAAAGTAAAGCTCATATCAGTTACACTAGTCTTTAAGCTATTTCACTTTTTGTAACTTTTCTCAGGTGTTTTGTACTAATTCATACTAAGGCTAGTACCTGTGTGCAGCAGGAGAGTTGTAAAGGTGACACCATACACATACTATGAAACAATACAAATATAACTTCAGTGCTGTTGTTTTTTCTTCTCAAGGCGTATCAATACTGCAGAACTACTGAAGTCTTCTACATAAATTTGTGGGTTTTAAGCAGTGCATTTTCACAAGTGAGACAGCTTGAAGACAAAGAAGCTACCACACCTAGTAAAGAAGCAGCAGATAGTCAAGCTAGCAGTATTAACCAAGATGTGCACAGGTAAATTAGTAAACACTACAGGCAAGAACCTACAATATCAAGTTAAAGCAAGATGATGCATTAAAGATTGAATGGAATGTTAAGTGGGAGTCTGTCTTTTTACAAACTGCGTGTATGACATTCCTTATTTTCATTAACGAGTTTCATGTCCTAAATACCACAACATAGCTTCTCATTGACTAGCTAAAAAACAAACAAAAAACCCCCACAGAACTCCAACGCACTAACTTAAAAATTATTCCTTTACAACACTATTGCAGAAGTAATTATCATAGTCCACACTTTTTGCTACCATATACCAGAATGGTTAAATATTCAAGTAGGAGTTACATACACAAACATGCAAGTTAAAAGGAATAAATGAAATGCTCCACTTTATTAAGAAACCAAAAATACAAAACTGAAGAGTTCAAGGCTTCATGTACTCAAACACTACTGTAAAATGGTATCTTAAACTTATTTTTCTTTACTACCAGTACTCATATTGACCAAGATTAATCTCTACAAGATAGTGTTAAAAGTTGACATTTTCCACCATTTGCGCTGTAATAAGCTAGAGTTTCAAATTAAGAACTCGGTGCAGTTACAGTAAAGTCTAGGTATCTCTATAACATGTGTTTTTAGTTAACACGCTGTTTTGTAGCCAGGAGCTTTTTAGCTCAACCTACAGCTGTTTTCTAGTCAGTGGATTTTAAAATGCTTACACAGAGTTTGTTTCATCAGCTATAGTTCTACTGAATGATGTTCCATGCAAAGATACAGCTTTTAAGTCACCTGACAGACCTAAATGCCATTTGTTTCTGGCTACTAAAAATACAGAGCTCTGTGAAGGCATACTGTAGAATATATTAAAAGTTAGAAAGTTGAGAGACTGTATCTAATGGTAGCACATATGAGCTGAACTACACACTTCTCTCAAGACATCTGCAGACCACACACATCCCCATTTGCATGGCAATGTTGATCCAGTCACACTTACCAGTCAAGTGTTCACTGCTTTAGTTTTACCTGGCAGTTAGTTCAGTTTTCCTCGGGTGCTTTAATTATATGCTTCAGGAAATCAAGGGAAGGTTAACTGTTAGCTCTGATTTAGCAAAAGGAGCATACCATGAGAAGCAGTAAGGAAAAGGAGAACAGAGAATGAGAAATGCAGTAGACAAAGTATTAGATTCAACTGAAGAGCAGAGGACACTCTGAAGAGTTTTCCTAGCAATGCACAAAAGTTCACTTGCTTAGAGATACTCGAAATACAACTTTATTACCTAAACAAAAAAGAATGGGAATGACAGAAACAAGATTTACCACTTAACACTCTGATGTGACTGCAGCAGTCTTATATTTGAAACTCAAAAGGGGAAGTAATTGCAGTCCAAAAAACAGCTAAATATGCAGGTCCAAAATATGAAGGTTTTTTTTCATTTTGTTTTGTTTGTTTTTTTTTTTTTTTAACTGCCACATTCACTCCGAAGCCCATTCATCTCTTTCAGCATCCCAAAGATTAAGCACATGTTCTGCTCAGCTAGATAATAAAGTGGCAAACACGCTGCACCACTGACATCACAGGACAGTTGCCTATAAAACTAGACTTCTGACGCTGGGCTCCAGCTTCATCCCTCACAGGTCATCATCTTCATCTGGCAGTGCAGTGGTTTGAGCAATCTGGAACAAAGGAGTTACACTTAAGAACTGTTTTTCAGTTATTCACCCCAGGAGTCCAAACACAAGTTTACCAGGCAGCCGTTTGACCTTTACGCCCTCTCTCACTTACCTGTAAGTCTTGCTCATACTGTGCTGCCAGTGCTGGGTCCATAACAACTTCAGGTGGTGCAAGAGCAGGCATGGCAACAAACTCCAAGTTAGGATCTCCAATTAGCTTTCTAGCAAGCCAGAGGAAAGGCTTCTCAAAGTTGTAGTTACTCTTAGCTGAAATGTCATAATACTGCAAAAGAGTACACATTATACATTACTAAAAAAAAGACACCTCTAATTGGTGTTTAGGGCATACAAAGATTAACATGCACATTATCAGCTCTACTTTTACCTTAGTATTCTTTTTGACTACATGATCTCTGTTTACGGTCTCAGAAACAGTTATGATCTAAGAATCTAGAAATGTGCAGTTTCAGGCAAATACAAAGAAACTTACAATTGAAATGCAAGGTATCCAATCTGATAAGAGATGCAGCTTTCAGAAGGCAACAGTGCATCTATCGTTCTCCTGTGACTATCTACTTTAGTCTCACTTCTGTTTCATCTGAACATATTGAGGAGTGCAAGCCAAATGCACACAAGCTCTTTAAGAACTTCTCATAGCTTCTGCTCAAGACCAGCAATGATAATCTCTAACATCACCACTTCACCACTTAGGTTCAAGTGGCAAAGAGGATGTGAAGTTGCACTATTTAGCCTATAGTGACAAAGGCAGAACACTCGATTACTGCATAGAACCCAGTTGCAGTCAACAGACCCAACAAATTTGAGTCCTACAGACTCATGCCAACATACCTGGAGATTCTTCTTCCTGTGGAAGACAATGGATTTTGCCTTGACTTTTCTGTCCTTAATATCCACTTTGTTGCCACACAACACTATAGGGATGTTTTCACATACTCGTACCAGATCTCTGTGCCAATTCGGTACATTCTTGTAAGTAACTCTTGATGTTACATCAAACATTATGATGGCACACTGAGCTGTAAGAAAAGAATAGTCAAGAGTTACAACAGCAGAGTAAGCACTTGCTTGTAAGATGGGAGAGAGAAGAGGAACCCATAGAAGTCCCACATTAGAGTCAGCAGTCAGCATTAACTTCGCTTTCAGCTTTACAGTTCTGAGATCCCATGTTCTGTTCAACACACAAGTCCACAGAATCCGGCCCATGACCATATCCTGTTATATCTTTAGTGCCCATTATTGATAAAGCTAGCTGGTCTTCAATGCAACTGTCCCACTTGAGTAACATGGTGTTGCATGGCATGAGAATACACATGGATTACAAAAGTCAACTTTGATTTACACAAATACTTGACAGAAGTTCGTTAACACCTACTTAACTAATAATCTAAGGCATCTATCGAGGCCTTCAGGTAGGTTGAGAGCTTGTAGTCCACATCTCAGGATGCCCTTGTCCAGAACAGTTTTTCAAAGAACATGGGGGGCTTCTCTCAGTCCTGCTACTTCTACAGGAAAAGCAAGTGTCAAACTCTAACAACCCCTTGCAAAACTCTGAAGATATGAAGGTAACAGAGCTTGGCCAAGCAGAACATAAGGCTGTTCTGCTACACCATCAGTACTTCTTTAGAAAGACAACTAGACTGTGACACAAACATGTACAACTTCGTGATCCTATCTAAAATTTCAAAGTTTGTGTGTTCCAAGTCCTGCCTCAGCACAGTACATTAATACAGATATAAATTTGTACTAACTGAAGCACATACTTTCCTCTTAACCACTGAATTTCATCAGCAATATCTTGTTATTTAAGATCGACCATGACTCTTCATTAACATCAAAGCCTGCAATGGCATACTGGAACACAGTCTTTGAATATTCCTACATCAGTGCCTGTTGCCCAGGAAAGGAAATTATCGTGTCTACATGAAAAATTTGAAAACCCAGAAACCAGATCATCACTGCAAGCCACAGTGACAGCTTTTAGAGTGGCCAACATGAATAGAAAGAAAGATTTAATTGCAAGAGGTACAGAATACTCCCACACATACACACATCTTACCTTGGATGTAATAGCCATCTCGCAGACCACCAAATTTCTCTTGGCCAGCTGTATCCCATACATTAAATTTAATAGGGCCTCTGTTAGTATGGAACACCAGAGGATGAACTTCAACACCCAGCGTTGCTATAGTAATAAGAAAAAGCAGTGCTCTTAGCAAGTCATGAATTGCACTTCTAACTGTAACATATTAGATTTCAAACCTATCTTCAGACGTACCTACATACTTCTTTTCAAATTCACCAGTCAAATGACGCTTTACAAATGTCGTTTTACCAGTGCCACCATCACCAACCAGGACAAGCTGTTGACAGATAAAAGGCAAAAAAGTCAGCGCAATACACTTCTAGAGACATTTATTGGTCATTTTAGTGTAAATACTAATTATCACTAGAAAGACCTTAATTCTACAAGATGCTGTAAACAAAAGACTGAATTTCCCTTTAAGTGACTCTTAAGAGTACTAGAACCCAATTTGTTAAGCCCACCAAGTGCTATTACTCTAGTCAGACTTGTCTTGTTCCTATAGCTGAAGAGTACAATGCACTGTTGATATGATTCTACTAAACTAGAAGTAATTGAATTGTGGCTATCTAGGTTTCTCAACCCGAACATGACCACATTTAGAGCAGAATTCATTCAAGTACTCAAATTTGAGAAACCCACCATAATCTTGCAATCAAAAAAAGAAACCCAAACAAACAAACCCCAAACAACTGCATTACTAACAGTTGGAATACTCTAGCCAAAATATTGCAAGACACACAAGTAACAACCTTCCACAAAGCAGTCTTAGGAACTTCTGGCTGTTAAGATAACAACAAACAAAGAAAACACATAAAACACCAGAAAACCCTGATCTGAAACATTTTAAGCTGTTTTTTTTCCTCTAAACTATTAATACACAACAGAAAACAGACTATTCTAATTCACTCTAAGCACTTCTTGCTGTGAACTTCGCCTCTGAAATTCAAAAATCATTCTATAGGCAAAGCACCACTAAAATTTATTGTGCTAAACTACAAATAGGATTAGACTGACACAGTGCAACAGACTTTTTGTACAAGTTATATGCAATACTACAATAAACTAATTGCACCATTAAGGAAAGACCTGCACTTCAAAACCAACCCTACATCCACGTTGGCACTCGAGAGTCGCTCGTGCTACTTTTCTACTGAAGGGGACGGGGACGGACACACACACACAAACAAACAAGAAAAAAAACAAACTACTTCCTTACCTTAAACTGCACTTGGGGCTCTCCTTGGGCGGCCATGCTGGATCTGCAGGGGAAATGGCAGCATGTGAGCTCACAACAG